GTCAGCCATGCATGTGTGATTGCTGACGGATGACAATTGAATGTGAATTCAAACTGTCATACGTCACAGGTGTACAAGCCCGTGATTTTGGTGGTGAGCCAAATACGGGTAGCACGTACAACTCCCTATATCAGACAGTGGAGAAGCAGCCTCTGATGGAATGATAGAGAAATAAAAGGCTGTCGGCGACAAACATGCCTGCACATAGATTTCCCCAAATGTGTTACAGTGTGTCACGTTTTCGATGTTCGTCTCATGATTTTTTTTATAGAAACTGGACGCTATACTAATATTAATCGACAAGAGAGACTATGCCAACTATGTGACTTAAATACTGTCGAGGATGAGTACCATTTCCTTCTTGTTTGTCTACTGTACTCAGATCTTAGAAGAAAATATTTACCAAAACATTTTATAGATATCCAAACGTTATTAAATTTATATCATTACTAACAAGTACAAACATTTTAATACTTCAGAATTTATCAATATTTATTTTATATGCAACATTACAAAGAAAGAAAAATAATAATATTTAAACAAATGTAAAAGTTACTACTCGGGCGAATATAAATGTATGTTTTATGTACTATAGGCCTGTGGCCTCTTCAGTGCGGAATAAGAGTTGATTGAATAGAAGATCCAAAGGCTGAGAATGACGGATAACTGCTCGGCCGTCATCCGTTTTAGATAATTATGATAATTTGTTTGTTTGTTACATCCCATTTGAGCGAGAAAATAATACGTATATACATTAATAAGAACCTTTTCAAACATACGCCTTTGTGAAGCCGACTTTTTGTAACAGAGAATAGTTCGACTTTTTGTAAATATATAGTTTCAGTAAACCGAATCTTTCGGAAAGGCTTGATAATAGTTCTCCCCTAGTCGCTTTCGGCACTTTTAAAGGCATGTCCTCAGCGAAACCTCCGACCTTTTTTTCGGTAATATATAGCTCTCAGTGAAGTTGAACTTTTCTTATAAATAGCCTCCCAGTGTATGTTTCCGACTTTTCTTGTAAATATATAGCCTGGTGAAGTTGACTTCAGTTCGCCTGAAGTCGATTTCAAACAACCGTTTTCGATTTCTTATCCCTAGTGAAGTTTGATCCTTCCTTTCAGGGCCGAGAGCAGTTTTAGTGAAGCCGACTCTTTCTGCGGGTTTATCATAAGTCCTTAGTTTGCGCTTCGTCTTTTTGTAATAGTTCGCCAAAGCTCACCAGAACTTCTGGCAAAACGCCGCTTCAACGTTCAACCTTCAAATTCACGAAAACTCCTGTTCGTCGCCATCCAAATCAGCGTCTCATTTCATTCGAAGTGCGCAATGATAAAACACCATGCTTTTGATGTCGCGTGAGGAAGAAGCGCTTCCCTATCCGTAAAGGCAACTTATAAACAAACAATTTCAGCCTGTAAGAAATAATATACAAAACGAATAATGGTTTCGTTATTGTCCCAACTTAGGTGGCACTAATCTTTATTAAGTATAGAAGTCGGTATTCGTTTCATCAGCTTTTCGTTTCCTTCAAAGCCATCTGCTTCAAACGTTTCGCCAAACGTCGAACTCCACGAATCGAACGGCATAATTGCTCTTCCGGCACGTCCAACTTCGCGGTAAAACCGATGGCGATTCTTCTTTACCACAAATGAAGATTTGGTCGGATTCAGCCCGAACCGCCTGCCCGCGTTTGGTTCAGGGATATCAAACCCACACCATCGGCGCGTTTGCGCAGCATAAACGATATAGTCGTATGTAATCTAAATTCGATATATTTCTGGTTCAACGAAAGCCGTTATTGACTTTTTGCGTTAACCGAATAAATTTGCGGTTTAAACGATCGAAGCGTAATTATTGCCGATCATCAACCAGTTCGATTCGAAGCGTCGATGATAATGGTTAATTTGATCCAATGTGGTGCCGTGCCGCGACGGTATGACGAAGTTTAGGTAATAACGAAGGCGACAGCGAAATGATGCACGTTGCCCATAAACGAAGTACCGCGCGTCCGTTCGAAATGCCGAGAGCGAAGTTGTTGAATGTCTGTTCGGTCTATTCGAAACGGCGGCGCTTTGAAGAAATATTGTTGTGGTCAGCCGCGCCAAACGCCATTCAACCGTTAGCAGCCATGTTCACCATTCGTCCTATTGGTTTGCCCATGTTTCGTAAGCGAATAATATTTTGTTTTCAGTTGGCGACATGACAATTTATTAAGGTCGTAATATCCTGTTCATTCTTCATCGAAGAGATTTACCGGGAAGCGCTTTAAACGGGAACCGTCCTTCCAGATTCCTGTTTAAAGCGCCCTGTCACCATTGCCCAATCGTGAATTGAATTTACAGTTACCTGTTGTTTAAAGTTTGTTGTTCTTCATTGTCAATTTTATATTAAGTATTTCCGGAAATATCGAGTACAAACTGACTTTGAAATGTGGTTCGTTCGCCGGAATAGTATATAACAGATTAGTTTAGTGTATTAATGAAAATCACGCTTTTTACGGCGTCCAAAATAGTACTTTGTGGTAATTAATTTTGAATCGCAAACATTTTGAAAACGCTACACCGACTTTGTTAATGAATCGCCGTCCCGTCCGCCGAAACGCCTGCGAACAGCCTTCGTTATTATGAGGTGTCCTGTCCGAAGAAATGATTTCGCCGTTGCGTCAGGTCGTCCTTCGATTTGTCGACTTCTCCGCATCCCAGTTTTATCCCTGATCCCGAAATTGTCCTGTCCGTCCTAAAGCTAAAGATGCAGCCATCTACCAATCACGTGAAAACATGGATGTAAATACGAAAGAAGTGATGAAACCGGAAAATCGGCAGTAAGATAGAAATGTTCATAACCTTCAATCCCAATGAGTAAATATTATCTGGTCGAGTGTATCACGCTGTTTACCCGCATAATATCAATCCACGCGCTTTATCCTTCTGGGGTTTATGGTTCCATTTTCGCACACCGTTAATAGCGAAACGCCATCCGTCCTTCCAACCGTTCGACATCTTCGTCGTCGTTCACGGTCCGCCAACCGGTGAAGTTCGCGAGCGCCGTTCGCGATACCGGTGCCGAAACCGCCGGAATCACTTTGAATTGTCCCAAATGATGCCAACCGCCTCTTCGCTGACGTTCTTCCCGGTCAAAATTTATGGAGTAAGTGGTATTCTGTCGCTGGCGCTTCAACCAATTCACTATAACGGCGAAGAATAACGCCACGATCCTCGTCGGCAAAACCACGATGTTCATGTAATAATTTGAGATGGGTATTGTTTAATATTTTAAACGAGGACTTTGTCCAGCGCTGGATATATTTTGGTTAGATTTCATTGAGATATCGAATTAAGATGAACCACCATCCTTTTCTATTTGGAACCCAGCGAGAATCCATGTTCGAACCCGCCATATTCTTAGTTGTGATGTGGGCTGGCAAATATAACAGATATATGTCAGCGTGATTCTTTATATAGTCTGGCGAAGTGGTTTGAAAGCCCATCTTGATTGCCGCCTATCTTCCGTGCCGTCCGCGTTGATTTGATTGGGGTCGAAGAACGCAATATCCCGTCCGTTCGTTGCCGCCATAGCGTCCCGTGAACGATGAAGATTTATACCACAACTTATGAATACAGGTTAACTGGTACCATCGCCGTCAACGATTCTACTATTCATTTAACTCCGTCCGCCCCAGCAGCCCGTTTTACGATAGTCGAATTCCAGCCATCCACCCAATCGGCAGTTCGGTTCCACGAAAGAGTTCCACGACCGCCCATTAAAACGGCTATACCACGAAACCAACGCATCGTCATCTGACGGCGCCAATTTTAGTGGGTGGAGAGAGAGAGCCGGGAGTGAAGTAGTTCAATTATTGTTGAAAGATAAACTGACTGGTTGAATGTTATATTAATTTGAGCAGGAAGATCTTTTGTTGCACAACAGTCTGGAATCTTCAACTATTGATAGTTCAGCTGGATTTGCCAGATACCACATTCGCAATAGTGTAGTCGCCTCTTCATCCACGCCGCCGTCCGCAAACTCTAAAACCCAGTCCGAATGACGTTGCGTTTGCTTCGACATTTGGGTACCATTGACGTTGCTTCTGGCGATACGTTTTCGGCGGATAAAGCGATAGGGATGAGAAGACCTCCTTCAGTTGGTTAGAACTTCGCTGAATCGATCTTCATAACAGGCGCAGGTCTTGTTCGGCAGGAGGGCGAAGACTGCAGTGATGGTGATTTTGACATATCATGTCTTTGAAAACATTGTTTTAAAGATCAAAGATCTATTTGAATATCTGATCTCTCCGTCATAATCACAAAATGTAAGTAATTCATGTTTCTAAATGTCATTTAAAAGATCAAAGACCTATCTAAATATTTAATACGTCCTTTTAATCACCCTTTATATGTTAGTTCTTCATGTTTTATGATAAAAAGATCAATTTTTCTATTTAATAACCCATATGTGTGAGTTATCAATGTTTTTCTAAAATCTTTGACCTCAAAGTGGTTGAATAAATAGGTTTTTATTACAATAGGACTTTTTTCCGGAGAACTTTTTGTCCGGTACTTTTTTACCGAGGACGTTTTCCTAAATCCATAAAACAACTTAATTACTTGTGATACCTCTGTATTGCTTGGGCGATGAAACGACATTATAAACAGTTTTTATGTTGCAAGAAATGTTGGTTAATTTTTGCGTGAAATTGCCCTTTAAACTCACAAATTATAAGGTTTTAGGAATCATTTAACATGTGCACGCTGGATTTTGAGGAACATATTGTCTATTGTCTGAAATGGAGGAGCAAAACATTTTTAGTAATCTAGTTTACGATACTGGTTGTTGGCCAAATTGTTAGTTTCACCTTCTCATGTCCCTGTTTGAGCTTAGTATTCAGCTACAGAGTTATGTCCCTTGTGTTAAGAAATGCCCAAACTCCTTCCCAGCGCGTAACACCTCGCGCTGGCATTACGATAGCTCCGCCAACGGGCTATCGCTGTGAGGATGTTGAGAAGCGACCTTCACTGTACAACCTTTGACCTTGTATGGAAGTTCATGTTGTGATCCTCGGGACGCTCATCGGGTGATCTGGTTGTTTACAAGACATTTGGTTGTTTTTGCAAGTTTGATTTAATCCTGTTCAAGTTCTGCAGATGATGAAATATCACAAGTCAGGTAAAACTGCGTTGGCTGTTATTGTTGTTAATCAAAGATTATGAAACTGAAGTTCCTGGAAGCCATCGACTGACTGACTGTTTACTCCACTAAACACAACATTGTTCTGACACCACCTAAGGTATCAAATTGAATAGCAATGACCTACTTGTAGACATATATCAGTTAGAAATTACTACTACAGTATACGAATATGGATACACCCTAAATTTTCAACTGTAATTTTTATGACAAATATACAAGACTGGTCATGTTTATAATCTATATTTATGAGATGATACACATGAATTTAGCTGTGGATTGTTTGAGTATGTTGAGATGGACCCTTGAACTATATATTCCGGGAGACATGTATCCGTGCCTGCACATCAGGCATGGAAATGTTATGTTTAGCAGTGATGAAGTATAGCAGAGGACAGGTCACCATTGGGGACATTTAATAAATGTAGCTGTGATGTACAATATGTATTGTGATTTTTATGTATTTCATGTTTAGTATTAGAAATACAATACTATCACCATACATAGGTCACGCTATGTACTGTTATACATTATGACGTCAAATCACGTGTAACAAGTCAATGAGTCGTATTTCAGAGTTGGTTTCATAGGCATGATAGGAACAGCTACCTGTGGAGGCATATTTGTAAAGGCAAGTTATAGTAAACTTGAAATGCTAATTCATTTTGTGATATTTGCAAAAACACATAGTGGTGAGTGTAATTAGAATGTGTATTGTCAGGCCGTATTGTCATGTATTGATACAGGAGAATACTTGTCATTGTATCATCACATGAAAACTAAAGTTGCACAGTTGTATCATTTCAACCCTGGAAATAGATTTTGTATCTTTGTCATCTTGATATCCATGTTCTTACCATGTGAAAGATTTCTGATCATCGCAATTTGATGGTCACATGTGACTGGATGTCCGAAAAGATTGGTGTCTGTGTAATGTCAATGCTTCATTTGTCTTTCTTGATGATATGTTCGACCTGGATAAAACCTTTCTCAATGTGTAGTAGGGCTGTGGTTTGTAGAGGTTGAGGTACACCAAGACTGTTGGCAAGGATTCAACTGACTGCTGTTTCAAGCTTGCCACGGGCACCTACTTCAATACTTGTTTGGGTGTTCAAAAAAAGACAAGTGTTTTGGAGTGTTTATAATTTGTTCTTGCAATAAATTTTATGAAAACTTCCACTCACGAGTAATGTACATAGTCAAATGTTAAGTTACATGTCTTTCAGATATATTTTTTAATCATCCAGTGTATGAAGCGGAAGATAATTATTTTGTGTAGTTTGTTCAGCATAGACGATCATTTATCACTGGTTCCATATATTAGAGAGCGCCTCCATGGTGTAGTGGTTAGAGCGTTCGCCCACAAGAGCGAAAGGTCGCGGGTTCAATCCCCAACCGCGTCATACCGAAAGATGTTAAAATATGGTACTTGTTGGTCCCTGTCTGGCGCTCGGCATTAATGGGTACAACAAGGACTGGTCAGCTCGGGAGTCAGCATAATGTGTCTGAGTGGGGTATTCATGCTTCACTGCGCATGGTATCTCACTGGGCTAGCACTATAAAACCAGCTTAAGTCTGGGCTAGTACAAGCAGCCGCACATACACATACACACGCATGCACGTCGTCATATGAGTGAAATATTCTCAAGCACGACATAAAACCCAATTTCACCTCGCCTCCATATATAAGAATGTGACCTGTTTGCACCAGGAACTACTATGCCACTGATTACAATGTGTATGACATGCAACACCAGCATTAGTTATTGAAGTAAGTCCACTGGCTTAATTGTTTGTACAGTCGGACAAGCAATAAAGTTTTCAATTCTTATGCGAAGACACTATTTCTTGGTTAAGGTTTAGAGATTGTTGTTGTGACTATTTTCACTATTGGGATTATATTGCAATAACATGTGGTACCCGTCATTAGTGGGATCGCTTTGTGATAGTTGTCATCCATTTCTTTCTTATCACTTCTGAACTCAAACGTGTCAAAGGGAAGTAACTCTAATATGATGCCATAATCCTGGACGATCAGCACAGATCTGTTTTGACATTAGACTATGAAAACTGCGTTTTCTCATGCATAATTGATTTTCTAATAACTATAACTATTCTGAAACTATTGGTCATCATGCATATTATTTACAATTCAATTAGCATTTGTAAATTACTATTGTCGAGTGAAATCAATTTCAGTACATCAGTAATTTTATACATTGCTACCTCCTAAGTTTGTTGAACCCATGTGTAAACATTATAGAACAATTTTCTATATTGTACGCCTCAACTTCTAAAATGCAACTCAAACAAGTCATGTGTAAACATGGTAAGACTTTGATTTGTTACGTGCATTACGTACCAAAGAGTTAGTGTTATCTGTCTCACATTGTCATTGTTTTTATGTATGGTTGGATTAGAAGTGACTCAAACTGTGCATGTTTGCAAATAATTGTGGGTTTAACCAGCCATTTCAAGCATGTTTCCACTTGCTAAGTAGAAATACCTATTCCCGATGCTGACTTTTATTTTCATTACATCTTATTTATTCCTGTGTCCTATGAGTCAACAGGGCATGTCGTGTGTGTAGGTCGGATGTTTCGAAGATTGGATAACTCGATATTTTTTCGTGGTCCCATGAATATCGAGACAACGGTGCTCGACTGTATATAGACCAATATCATGACATGAAGCTTCTGCTGTGAGGCAGAAAATGTAATTGATATTGGTGTTTCATATAACAGCTGTCATGCAGTGAAATGTTTGTACTGGACAGAGAACAATAACAACATCTGTCTAGTCTTGTCACCTGTGACATCAATATAGGTTGTGGAAAATTCTATTAATGTTGCAGCCGGAAAGCTACAATGAGTATCACCGCACACAAGGGGCATGAGAGAATTGTTCTGGTTGTGTTACAAGGTAGCTATTGTGTTATGAACTTGAACATGCTCAAAGTATATGTATCTATGGATGGGTGGATGGATGGCATTGTTGTAGTGTTTGGAATCGGTTGAAATTTCAAAATCGATTATCGGTTGCAATCGGATCGTCCCATCCGGTCAATGATTGATTGTACAATCGGTTACACTGATTAAGAATTAGATATTTTTTACAACTTGTGCATTTCCTTGGTAAACATTTGAACTCTTTTACAATACTGTATATTTGTCTTTTTTTTAATTATGTCATAATAGTGAGCATTGAATGAAATATGTCAATTTTTATGGTTGGTTTCTGTGAAAAGCGTGACTTGGGGGTGCATCTACTAGAACTTAAAAACTCCTGAATATAATATTTTCCATAAGTTTTAATTGTCATTTGAGGCAAGATTGTACAAAATTACAAACAACCTAAGTCTACATTGATCAACAAAAAAATGTGTACAAAAATAAATATTGACAGACTACCAAGATATATAAAAGATGACTGTTCAATTCACACTTTTGCAGCTTTTGCACAATCACAACAAATCCTCACAATTTTTTCCAAATTTTGACCCACTTTTTACACTAATGTACCGTATATTACCGTAGATAAGCCAAATTTTGAGGACCAAAAATAGCCCAAGTCTGTAGAAGAGGGTCGGCTTATCTATGGGTTACACTTTTGTCAAACTTTTTTCAGGTGGTAAGAAAATGACATTGTATCACTTTACATGAACAGACATACAAGAGAAGACGACTTTGTCAGTAAAGACATCAAATTTCAAATTGCAATTAAACATCACTAGACAAGAATATTTACCTTTTCAGTTCTAATTTGTTTTGCTAGGCATTGTATTATATGCAGGGATTAAAATTACCGTGTGTATTTGTCTCGTATGTAAAGCCAGAAATAGCAATCAGCTGTGCACACATTTCCCTGTGATCTAGTTAAAACATACCCAATAATATAACGGGATGAATTCTGCCGCAGTGATCGATAAAATATAATATCTAAAACTATTATTTTACCAAGAGAAATATATCCTTGTGTAAATTTGCTTACAGGTTTTGCTCTATATAATATGTAAAATATGTATAATCAATACTAAGGTTATACGGACCCTCACAGACATGGTAAGTGGAAGTTGAATGCACATGGAATGAGGTAAAATAAGCATGCACTTCACACACGTTTTCATCGATGTTACTATAAACTAGGGCCTCCATGGATGACGAAGCGGTAATCAGTTCGTCATTGTTGAGAATAATCTGAAACTGAAATTGGTGATATCGCGGTTGGAGCGAAGAACATGGTAAGAGAAAGTTGTTCGCACATGAAATGAGGTAAAATACACATGCCAGTTTGTTGTGATCGCCAGTTACAATAAATATGACATTTAGCAAAACAAAACATATATGCGTTTCCATTTTCTGTCAACTACACTTCATTTTGAGGCGTGAGTAGACGCAATATGATTGTGATTTCTGTGAATAATGCGGATAGAAGTTATAATTATAGGTAACGGCCAGTTGTCTTGTGGTCTGAATTGGGTATTCATATTAGTGACAATCGATTATGAAGTTTTGCAATCGATTATCGCATCGGAAAAGGGTTACCAATCAATTATCGATCATTGGAACACCACTACATTGTTGTATTAAAATGAACATGCTCAAAGGATATGTACCTATGGATGGCAGGATGGATGTCATTGTATTAATTCGGACATACTAAAGTGGTATACATCTATGGATGGGTGGATGGATGTCATTGTTGTATTAATTTGAACATGCTAAAGTGATATGTATCTATGGATGGGTGGATGGATGTCATTGTTGTATTAATTTGAACATGCTATAGTGATATGTATCTATGGATGGGTGGATGGATGTCATTGTTGTATTAATTTGAACATGTTAAAGTGATATGTATCTATGGATGGGTGGATGGATGTCATTGTTGTATTAATTTGAACATGCTATAGTGATATGTATCTATGGATGGGTGGATGGATGTCATTGTATTAATTTGAACATGCTATAGTGATATGTATCTATGGATGGGTGGATGGATGTCATTGTTGTATTAATTTGAACATGCTATAGTGATATGTATCTATGGATGGGTGGATGGATGTCATTGTGGTATTAATTTGAACATGCTAAAGTGATAGGTATCTCTGGATGGGTGGCTGGATGTCATTGTTGTATTAATTTGAACATGCTAAAGTGATATGTATCTATGGATGGGTGGCTGGATGTCATTGTGGTATTAATTTGAACATGCTAAAGTGATATGTATCTATGGATGTCAATGTTGTATTAATTTGAACATGCTATAGTGATATGGATGGGTGGATGGATGTCAATGTTGTATTAATTTGAACATGCTAAAGTGATATGTATCTATGGATGTCAATGTTGTATTAATTTGAACATGCTAAAGTGATATGTATCTATGGATGGGTGGATGGATGTCATTGTTGTATTAATTTGAACATGCTACATGTATATTGATATGTATGGATGGATGCCATTGTTGTGTCAATATGAAAATGCCTAAATTTTGTGGTGCATCCATGTGTGGATGAATGGATGGATGTCTCCAACTTCATCTTCTTATCTGTTATAATACTGTTGCTTTGAATATTCCATCACAAGGGATAACTATTTACCAGAACTTTAAGCGTAGAATTTTTGTGATTTTAATTATGGCTAAATTTTTACTACAATCGCCGGCTGCTGAAGGGATGATGTAAACCCAACTAGGGTCCATGTAGGTAGCAAAGGTACTGTAAGTCCCCATGGTCCCTAGTATGGTGATCTACCTTCAGTTGTTGGCGACCTATAGCCCGTTTTTATATTGTATTGTCTTCGTAAATAAAACAGTTTTACATGTTCGTGCTAGTTTTACACTCCATCTGTGATACTCTAGTTATTTTACAGTCCTTCGATGACTGATTATTTAGCAACTTTAATTTATTGTTTATGCAAAACATTTTTCGTCACTATATGGCTGAAATATTGCTGAGGTGACATTAAATTTTAACTCACCCACTCACTGTTGCTTTGATACCTTAGATCCCTGTGTCTCTGAGAATGTGGGATATCTTTCAGTACAGTGTGAGCGAGGTGTGTGGAAACTAGTACAATGAATGAATATTGCCCTGTATGTGTTATACTGTTTATCTTCATGACTTCATTATCACCATTGGGGGCGGTGGGGTAGCCTAATGGTTAATAGCGCTGAGTGTGTATGTGCCTGCTTGTACTAGCCCAGACTTCGCTGCAGTGAAGCATGAATACCCGACTCAGACACATTTACTGAATCCCAACATGGGTACAAATGTGTGAACCCCCATTTCTAATGTTTTTGGTATGACCGATTGCCGATGTTGCTGGAATATTGCTAAAAGCAGCGTAAAACCAAACTCAGTCAGTCAGTCAGTCATTATCACCATTGATTACCTGTGCTTTTTAGTATTGCATTATATAGATGGGCTTCAGGTTCAGTGTGAGTGAGGTGTGTACGATGGATGGATGGACGGACAACCAATCAAACAAACAAATGAATGAGTGATGCCCTCTTTGTATGATACATGTTAACTTATTGCTCATGTACTTAGTACTGCACTATTCTTACACTATGATACGTTTCAGGTTGGGTGTGAGGGTGGCGTGCCCTGGCAAGCAGCATGACAGCCAACAGTTATGCCCGGAGCATCGAACTACCAACAGAGAGCATATTTAGAAACCTCAAGCATGCTCGGAGATTTGCTATTGATATAGGTAAACACAGTCACTGGTCCAAACAATGACATATTGAATTAATGTTTACAGATTATGATATTGTTTTAACATTAGGTACAGAAAGGAAACAACAGTCTCAAGATTTTGTGTGGAAATGTATTAGATAGAAAGAAAAGGGCATTACATGACCACTTGCGAATTATAAGTCACCTGAAACAGCAATTATTAAAGTGGAATTATTATCGTTATTTATATCTTATCCTGACAAGTTCAAGTCCCTTCTAGAGTTTGATCCTGTATGAAACAGCACACATGCATTTTCACTCGAGGGTGCTCTCCATCTGGTCACCAATGAGAGTTATCTGTCCTTACGCCAGCACTTTCTTTATCGGTTATACACGTTTGTGAACTTAGATTTATATCCTTAAACGAAAGACTTGGTATTTATTGTGTTGGCATAATATTTTCGCAATCCATATTTTAAGAGCATACAAGTTTTGTTGTTGTGATTACTTTGTTGCATTACATTTACACATTGCTGTGGTCCTGTATTGTCATATGATGGCCCTGGGGTTATTTATCAGTCGTCATATCTTTGTCACCACAGACTCGTGAAGGTCCGGGTTAGAATATTGGCCTTCAGTAACCCATGCTTGTCGTAAGAGGTGACAAACAGGATCGGGGTGGTCAGGCTCGCTGACTTGGTTGACACATGTCATCGGTTCCCAATTGCGCAGATCGATGCTCATGCTGTTGATCACTGGATTGTCTGGTCCAGACTCGATTATGTACAGACCGCCGCAATATAGCTGGAAAAACTCAGCTCTCTCACTCACTCTTGGTCACAACAACAGTTGTGGCTAATGTTTTATCACTATTATGAGCTGTGTATATGAGTGTGGGTTTTGTACATAACTTCTTTGAGAGACATTGAGAAATTGGAGCAGTAAGGAAGGATAACAATATATGGATGAACAACTTCTTTATTACAGTGACAGCGATGTTTCGGTGTAGGTTCTATCACCGTTATCGACCGCCTCCGTGGTGTAGTGGTTAGAGCGTCCGCCCGGAGAGCGGAAGGTCGCGGGTTCGATCCCCGACTGCGTCATACCAAAAGACGTTAAAATATGGTACTTGTTGGTCCCTGCCTGGCGCTCGGCATTAATGGGTACAACAAGGACTGGTTGGCTCAGAGTCAGTATAATGTGTCTGAGTGGTGTATTCATGCTTCACTGCAGCATGGTATCTCAGTGGGCTAGCACTATAAATCCAGGTTCAGTCTGGGCTAGTACAAGCAGCCGCGCACATACACATACACATGCACGTCGTCATATAAGCGAAATATTCTCAAGCACGACGTTAAACCCAATTTCACTCACCTCACCTCTATCACCGTTGTCAAGCATGTTAAAGAGTGTGAGTTGTTTATTCGGGGATCTGTATCGATTGCATGTTCTTGATCTTGTATTGCGCTTCACCTCAATGAATTGAAGTCAGACCCATTAGATGTTATCTTGGGAATGTTTTGTTTTTTCTGGTCTTACTACAGATTGGAGTAGAAACAGAACAATGACAACGGCAGTGGTGGTGATGGTTGTGGATTTATATATTTTGCTCTTTGTGAAGAGAAAATCATTAAACACAGAAATGATGTGGGTTGTTGTTTCAGTCGAAGTAAACTTAGGCTCAGTATTATATTATTGGTTACACTGCTATACTGAGTCTAACAAACCCTAGTAGAAGGTCGTGTCAGGTAACCTTTTGAATCGACCAATCAGAACACAGCTTACCAAATCGCGAAAGTTAACATTCACACATACCGTTTGAACTTTAGCCTCGAAAACGTTTGTGTTCGAAACGATTCCGAATGCGCGATCGTTTCGAGTGATACACATGGAGGGCACGATTATTTACAACGGTGAGTAAACAGTCGCTGAATATAGTGTTTTCTGTCAATATTTAAGGATGTCATCTTGCAGAAATATAAACTAATAGTCTTCAGATACTCATAAGCGTATACACTGCAGGTAAAATATCTGTGTTTTATGCAGATTTTCATTTGTTGTGAGATCAGTGTCAGCGAATGGGGAAGAAAACATCAAAGTACATTTTGTAAGTCCCGCTGAACCCTAAATAGTAGCTGTTGTCTGTTTTTTTTATATCCGTTCGTCCGTCCCGCGTTTGTTTGGTCATAGGTCGCTCAAAGGTTATCTGACGTGACCTTCTACTAGGGTTTGTTAGACTAAGTTTATTTAGACTGGTCGTTGTCTATGAAATCACCAGTTGTTCAAACATGATAATTGATATTTCTGGAATATCATACATGAAAATTCCACACAACAACACTGATTACAGCCTTTAAATATGTTTACCATAGCAACGACAACAGGGAATACAATTACAGTCGTAAATCACCTTGTCTCATAACTTATTATCTGAAAAGGTTTAGTTCCGTTGATGTTTGAAGAAAAGTTGTTCTCTCACAAACTCCTTGATAACAAATTTTAAGGTTTTAAATGTAAGTTTTCGATTGGCTCCAATCCAATGCTGTTTTTATTGCAAATACGGTTTTAATTTTAATTTGATTGTGTTTACAGGAGGCTCCTTGGCTAAGCTGTCCTACTGTTCTACAGTCAGCAGAAGGACGTCTATGGTGTTTGATGAACCAGAACAGGTCAATGTCCTTCATATTTTCACAACTGAAATCTGAAATCCATCCAAACTGTTCATGAAGCTGTTCCTGAAATAAATTGACTCCTAAAGCAGGGATTGGGAAAGGCAGGGGCCATGGGCCATTTTGCACATTAGAATAAAAAATGGCCCATTAAAATTTTGAAGTTTACTCTGGATACAAGGGTAGTGGCCTATTGTAAATTCAGAAAAAGGCCCATTGTCAAAGTTCTCTATCCCAATCCCTTCCTAAAGTGATGGAAAGAGGATCATGGTTTACAAAGTGATGTTAGCACTAAGGTCATCGTAACTCATAGACCTTAGCATTGACTTACATTATAGCTAAAACACATGGAATTATCATGAAACGGCCCTCCTATTATCAGAAATTTGCGGGCCGCTGCAAATGATATTGGACCGCTCAACCTTAACGACGGGCCACTATCAGTTCTGTTGTCAAGTGACGTCATAGTAGGTGCGTCGGTTTATTCGACATTAGCTTTGGACTGGCAGATATTCTGGGGCAAACAAGTCAAAGCAACACGAATTCCCGCTTTAAATAGCGGTAATATTGGCTTTCTTGCTGGTGCTAACCCTAACAATTGCACTATTAACGTTGTTGTTGGACCAAAACCGAACACTGACATAGTTTGACATGTTGCAGGCTATGGTCTTGTCAAAGGCCAAGGTCAAATATTGTCACTTTCTCTTGTGACGCCACTTGAATTGTTCGATGACGTAATTACATTCGGGCAGTCAACCCCGTCAGAAGTTAATTTTGGTAAACTTACAGTCAAATTCCTTCATTGTTTCCTTTCAACACAAATTCCATGTATATTAGCAATAATAACGGTAATGCTATTTTTGAGGGCATTATCATTTGCAGAAGCCCTCGGTCTTTTTCAACTGCCCTCCTTCGTTGGACAGTTAATGGAAGACCTCGGGCTTCTGCAAATGATAATGCCCTCAAAAATAGCATTACCCTTATAACAGAAGTTGTTTGCACAGTGGCACCCAGGTCTTTATTACATCAATATCTGTTGAGTGAGAGGTTCACTGAAAAATCCAGAACTTTCATAGTGGTATATTAGTTGTAGATCACAGAATGATAATATTTTCAGTGGTTTTCAGATTAGTTTTATACAGTGTATGCAAATGGATGACTCTAAAGTTTTGCCAAACATTATTACATCCTGGATATTCCCATGTGTCCCAATTGCATAGATCGATGCTCATGATGTTGATCACTGGATTGTCTGTCCAGACAAGATTATTTACAGACTGATGCCATATAGCTGGAATATTGCTGTGTGAGGCGTAAAACAACCAACTAGCCATGTTTACAACAATAGAATGAAACAGAATTTCTGATATTTCCTACACCACAAAATGAATCAAACTGTGCTTCAGGATTTGAGGGAAGTTGTGAAGTCTTCAAGGGACTGACAGTTGCAGATATGTTCAGCTGGCAGGTATGACTGCTAGTGGAACATCGTACATCACTGCTGATGATGTTCAGCTGGCAGGTATGACTGCTAGTGGAACATCGTACATCACTGCTGATGATGTTCAGCTGGCAGGTATGACTGCTAGTGGAACATCGTACATCACTGCTGATGATGTTCAGCTGGTTGTATGACTGCTAGTGGAACATCGTACGTCACTGCTGATGATGTTCAGCTGTTTGGTATGACTGCTAGAGGAACATCGTACATCACTGCTGATGATGTTCAGCTGGCTGGTATGACTTCTAGTGGAACATCGTACATCACTGCTGATATGTTCAGCTGGCAGGTATGACTGCTAGTGGAACATCGTACATCACTGCTGATGATGTTCAGCTGGCAGGTATGACTGCTAGTGGAACATCGTACGTCACTGCTGATGATGTTCAGCTGGCTGGTATGACTGCTAGTGGAACATCGTACATCACTGCTGATGATGTTCAGCTGGCAGGTATGACTTCTAGTGGAACATCGTACATCACTGCTGATATGTTCAGCTGGCAGGTATGACTGCTAGTGGAACATCGTACATCACTGCTGATGATGTTCAGCTGGCAGGTATGACTGCTAGTGGAACATCGTACGTCACTGCTGATGATGTTCAGCTGGCTGGTATGACTGCTAGTGGAACATCGTACGTCACTGCTGATGATGTTCAGCTGGCTGGTATGACTGCTAGTGGAACATCGTACATCACTGCTGATGATGTTCAGCTGGCAGGTATGACTACTAGTGGAACATTGTACGTCACTGCTGATGATGTTCAGCTGGCTGGTATGACTGCTAGTGGAACATCGTACATCACTGCTGATGATGTTCAGCTGTTTGGTATGACTGCTAGTGGAACATTGTATATCACTGCTGATGATGTTCAGCTGGCTGGTATGACTGCTAGTGGAACATCGTACATCACTGCTGATATGTTCAACTGGCTTGTATGACTGCTAGTGGAACATCGTACATCACTGCTGATATGTTCAGCTGGCTGGTATGACTGCTAGAGGAACATTGTATATCACTGCTGATATGTTCAACTGGCTTGTATGACTGCTAGTGGAACATCGTACATCACTGCTGATATGTTCAGCTGGCTGGTATGACTGCTAGTGGAACATCGTACATCACTGCTGATGATGTTCAGCTGGCTGGTATGACTGCTAGTGGAACATCGTACATCACTGGGGGCTGTGGGGTAGCTTAGTGGTTAAAGCGTTCGCTCGTCACGCCGAAAACCCGGGTTCGATACCCCACATGGGTACAATATGTGAAGCCCATTTCTGGTGTTCCCCGCAGTGATATTGCTGGAATATTGCTAAGAGCGGCGTAAAACCCAACTCACTCACTCACTCGTACATCACTGCTGATGAAGTTCACTATTTCAGGATGATGCCAGTCACATCTACAACATCTCTGAAACAGATGAAGTGATCGTTCGACTACATTTTGTCAAGTTTGAAACCAAGTACATAGAGACATGCCTGGACTTCATACAGGGAAACTTGATCCAGTCCAAGGACTTCATGAAGGACAAGTGTATCAAGGCAACGGGAGGAGGGGCGTATAAATACAAGGACCTGATCACCAGCAAGCTGGGAGTTCAGTACGTGGGTCGTTTATATAATTAGCCTCGCAAGAACATTGGTGGAGTGAATTCCTATAAATTACATATTTGTCTCTAATAGGAAATTGTCATGTTCAACAAGATTTCCCTTTCCCATACATAACTGTAGATAAACTGAATTGTGAGGACCAAAATAAGCAGTCTGTAGAAGCGGGCCGACTTATCGACAGGTTACACTTTTTTCAAGGGTAGGAAACACATCGTATTGTATCGCTTTGCATGAACAAATGTACATTAATTGAATCAAATTGATATTGTATTGTGGTTCATAAGTATTAAATGGACATTGAGGGCAAAGGTGTGGGAGTAGTGAGCGAGTTTAGTTTTATTCCACACTCAGCAATATTCCAGCTATATGGTGGCGGTCTGTAAATAATCGAATCTGGACCAGACAATCCAGGGATCAACAGCATGAGCATCGATCTACGCAATTGGGATACGATGACATGTGTCAACCAAGTCAGCGAGCCTGACCACCCGATCCTGTTGGTTGCCTCTTTCAACTAGCATGGGTTACTGATGACCAATTCTAACCCGGATCTTCACGGGTTCAACTGGGAGTAATTTAATATGCACTCATGTACTTCATTTGTTTTATGTTATCGGTTTCTGAATGCTTTAAAACATCCATTGTTTTTCTCGATTATCACATGAACAATTGTAAAACAACTTTATCCTAAACACAAGCCTTTGTCTGAGTATTTTCAATTTCTAAGTGACGCAATCCACCTTATTATAGCATGAGTAAACACTGCCGTCTGAAAATATGTAGTCCCATGATAACTCTATATTGTACGTACATATATTGATTGCACTGTCATATACATGTTGCTAAGATGCTTCGGTGAACGATCAAAGGCGCCGACAATACTTTATCAGACGATAATGTGCACTTTTTGCATTATGTCACAATGTATTGGCGTCACTGCGCCATTCTAGTCTGCCCCCTGATAATCGAACAATTTTGCATTACGTCACAATGTAAGCGACGTCACGATGCATGTCAGTTGTCATCGCCTAGTACGGCCTCCTACAGTAAACTACTCCGTTGCATCCCGTTTCTTGGTTTGCAGTTGCTTTATGCAGCTAATATCACTGGTGGAAACATTACATTTATGTTTTCCGACGGTTTAAATGTCTCAGTTGGACTCACAAGTTTTCAGCGACATGGTAACGTTCGCAATGTTTACATTCCCACAATGCAATCGTGGAATGTCGCTTGACTACTCAGCTTCATCTGGATGTACTGATCTAAACTTACGTTGGTAGTAGAAATACGACGTTCATATTGCCCCATATGGTTTACGTTAATCACAGATGTAATTGAAGTAATTTAGAGAAGATATCTAATCCTAACGTAAACCGTCATGAAACTGTTTATCATTTGTTTTTTCTGGTAACGTTCCTCTTAACGTAGGGGGGCAGTCACTTCAAAAGAACAGCGCGCCAGTTAGCCCTGTGGGAGGATTCTTAATTTAGGTCACCAACACCGTCGTTTGTTTTCTGCCTTAGATTATCGTAATTATTCTTAGAAAGAAAAGAAATACAGTTCGCTCTACCACCATGTATAGTGTAATAATGCATTTCTTAAATAAGTAGTATGTAACATACTATGTACTTGTACACTGCTCCTCGGGGCGGTGGGGTAGCCTAGTGGTTAAAGCGTTGGCTCGTCACGCCGAAGACCCGGGTTCGATTCCCCACATGGGCACAATTTGTTAAGCCCATTTCTGGTGTCCCCCGCCGTGATATTGCTGGAATATTGCTAAAAGCGGCGTAAAACTAAACTCAGTCAGTCAGTCAGTACACTGCTCCTCTGTTACTAAGGGTTGACAAGGAAGATGAGATGGATTGTCTGATCTCTGGGTGCAACTTCCTCCTCAAAAACATCCCTGACGAGTCCTTTGTGTACCAGCGTCATGGCAACCCAGACTACAAGTTCCAGGGAGTCAGCACCGACATCTTCCCCTACCTGCTTGTCAACATTGGCTCTGGTGTCAGTCTTATCAAGGTTTGTGGGATTCACTCTACAACTATGTCCATTGAATGGCTGAAAATATTATCAATGAAAATGACGCACTTGGTATTATGGATTAAATGTACCTCTTGAAAATATTATTGGAAGTTCACAACCTCAGAGATTTTCACAATGGAATAAAAGTCTGAAATTCCTCATAGAAAATAGTCAAATGTGAAATATACTGAGAGAAATAAATAAAGGATCACAGGAATATGCAAGTATTCATTTATTATTTTCGAGTTTTCATCGTCACAGCGCTGGTGATGAAAACTGGAAAATAGTAAAGGAACGTTTGGATTTTCCTTTGATCCTTTAATTGTTTCTCTCAGTATATGTTATATTTGGGATTGCATTGTCTTGGTAATGTACAGATTCTAAAGTACTGTCGGAAATAGAAAAAAAATGTTTTTTCACATTTATATCTACAATTTAGGTAGTTAATATGTGAAAGTGTGAAATATCTGTTGAACTAGGTTTGGCCTAACTACAGTCTCAGTGGTAGGAAGATAGGGCAAGATTACAGAATACCGGATACCTATCCGCCATTTTATTTTGATTACGCATTTATTTTTGCGCACTTCCGCTTTGTTTCCTTAGCATTGGCACGCCCTGAATGAAGGCTGTGTTGAAGCAGTGTTCAATATTAAATATTAAATATTAAACAATATTAAAGCTAAAAAAAGGTAAGATAATGGGGGTAAAGGGGGTACCCCCCTTTATTTAAAAGCCTTACCTACCTTACCTTACCAATCAAAAAACACTTACCATCAGAGTGTTCCCACACTGTAGAGTTCCTTTTCCCAGCCTGCATTTGAATAAAATTTCAACACACGATTACTTTTTACTCTGTTTACGTCAGTGAACGCTGTTAAAATCCCCAGTTTAGGTTTCCTAAACCAGAAGTAAGGTGAGGAATTCGATTTTAACCTTATTTTTTACCTTAAATTTGTATTTTTATTGGATCGCTCGCAGGCTCGCGCTCTCTGTTTCTTCTATATATAGGAGCCTTACGCGCACAATAGAATGTATATAATTAGGTATCCGGTATTCTGTAAGTGTACCGAAGATAGGAAACGTTAAAAAAGGCTTTTTCTGAGGAGAGATTTGTGCAGAAATGAGCAATGTTTTTTTTTTCGAAGTCCGAAGAGACTTATTTGGAGCAGACCATGGCTTTATGCAAATTAGTGTGCGATGATATTGTATAACAAATGACACTTTTTGAATGTCCATTTTGAAATTAGACTTAGCTTCATAATAAACGATAGCAGACGTAAAAAATAACAACTTGAATACTGAAACTATTAAGGATATAGATACCATTGAGTTTCACTATCACTATAAAAAGAAACGGGTAGGAGGGGTCGTCTCAAAAGCAAAATCAAGAGGGTGTTGCTGATGGTAGGTGGGGTCGGGCTTGGGGATAGAGATATTAGCTAAGATTAGATAATCAGTAGAGACATTCAATACACATGAAAAAGCATAAAAGATATTTGAGATGACCCCTTGTGTCTGTGGGCAGCACGTGCATTTCATGCCAAGTGAGTTGTCGGTCTGTAGTCATACCTGGCTGAGCGACCTAATTGCCATCTATAGTCTGATCTATTGTTTTCAGCAGCTGTTCGTATTTTTTCTAGTTTTACCCGATTTTACGAGTAAACATGCTTTTCTGGATATCCTATTACGCATCCCACTGAACGCCCAGTGAGGCTGATGTGGGTTATTTCGACATATGCTATTTGCAATTGTGTAAGTTTTAGGGATACAGAGTAACAGCCTTAAAACAGTTTTTTTCTATTTCCGACAGTGCTTTAGTTTCTTTATTACTGGGATTTGAACTACAATCTCAGAGTGAGGAAAATATTCGCCAGCAACAAAGTCAGCAAGCTACCACCTGAGCTCCCCACTCTTGGATTAGTGTTATGGGGTCTGTAGTTGTAGCCCTTGTAATGCATCTGGTCAGCGTATATGTTTGTATCTCAGAAATATATTATTATTGTAACCTCTCAATAACTCCACTGTAACTTGTTTGAGTGGCATTTTAGAAATTGAGCCGTACAATATAGAACAAATTTGATGCATAACAACTTCTTTATTTTGTGATTGTGACGTTTCGATACAGATTCTTGTACCGTTGTCAAGCAGGAGCATCACTCTATCACTCTATTGTTCTATATTAACTCCACTGTATTGATGCCATTTGTCCATAATACTGTAAATCAATAAAATAATGCGAGCTACTTATTAATGCGAAAAATGCGACTATATCTGAAGCGCATTAATAAATCTCGCATTATTATATTGTCTTTTGCTCTCGTTATCGTTATAACTAGTATTTGGGTCACGATAACCCAGTGAACAAAGATGAACGATTGATTCACCAAAATTCCTTTATTGACACAATAACATCGACATTATATTATATCAACAAGTAAAATACATTCTGGTGAAGAAAGATTGAGCACTAATCATTTAAGTTGTATGACAGTCTTTGAATAAACAGTCTAGTTTGCATGGTTTGAACTCACTGGACCACGTCCAGCAGACCTGCCAACTGCCATCCACGTAAGATTACCTCACGATTTCTGCCTACCTTTTCAATTGCTCTCTGCATCCAGCGAGCATGAACAGGTTTCATGGCGCTAATCCTCAAATCAACACGTTTGTCATCGTTGAAAGGAAAGCTGTCTTTGATCCAAACGCCCATGTGTTCGGGGAATTAAGATGTTTACACTAGAGTCGGATTAAATACTAGTATAGTATTTCCCAAAGTTGTGAGTGTAGTCATTAGTGAGTATAGTCATTCTGGTCAACCATTTCCTGATTTGCCTCCTCGCATTAATAAATGCACGCATTTTCGTTTTGAGGTTTGCACTCGCATTATTTAATACACGCATTAGTTTGTTGATTTACAGTATGCCTCAGTGTAGGTTTCATCCTTATGACTATACCCATTCTCTTCCCACAGAGGTTACTTGTCATATCTTCCTATGAACCTCTGTTCTAATACGGCCATATTTCCCGGTTCTCGTAAAATCCCCTAGCGGCAAAAGATCGCAACACGAATTATCTCCCTTCTTTCTATCCAATCAGAACACGTGTTACATCGACTTAGATTCAACTGGACTAACACAAGCAAATGTAGGGCCACAAATATCCCCCATCTGCCGGGGACTTGTGTTGATATTACACACAAGACGTTTAATGGCTAGCTTGTCCGTTGTCAACGAGGGCGATGGAGACGCCACTGATCCACCATAACATGACTGAGTTCTGTCTAGAAGAAACGTTTGCGCATCGCGCAGGGGAAGAGGTTTAGTTTTCTCGAAGCATAAGGAAATTACCGAGGCCTTGCGAATGATCACTTTTGAAACAACGTCGCTGATTGCACAACTAAATCTGATTGCCTCCAATCACGAGTCTTGAACGCTCACACCATGAAAGGGACATATTAGAACAGAGGTTACGAAGGAAGATATGACAGGAGTAACCTCTGTGGGAAGAGAATGGACTATACCAAGAGCTTGGTTGGTTTGTTAACGCCACACTCAGCAATATTCCAGCTATATGGCGGCGGTCTGTAAATAATTGAGTCTGGACCAGACAATCCAGTGATCAACAGCATGAGTATTGATCTACGCAAATGGGATATGATGATGTGTTAACCTGGTTCAGAATCCGGAAACTTTGCTCACAATGAACTTTAGTCCTGTTTGTTGCATTTTACAACACAACATATGCATTACATTAAAATAGATATTACATAGGGATATTTACACATATAATGTGACCTATGTTGGTGTTTCCAGGTGGAGTCTGAGAACAAGTTTGAGAGGATCGGTGGGACGTCGACGGGAGGTGGGACCTTCTGGGGGCTGGGCTCACTCCTCACAGAGGCAAAGGTTAGGCAGGATAGACAGATAGAGACTAGCTGCAATTAATTGTTCATGTTGTATGTTGGCAGTAGTATTTTGAGCTTGTTACGCTGTTCACAAATTTGGTTGATTATAATATGAGTGAGTGAGTGAGTTGAGTTTTACGCCACTTTTGGCAATATTCCAGCAATATCACGGCGGGGAACACCAGAATGGGCTTCGCACATTGTACCCACGTGGGGAATCGAACCAGGGTCTTTGGCGTGACAAGCGAACACTTTAACCACTAGGCTACCCCATCGCCCCTATAATATGAAATGTTCCATGAAACATTATGTACTGCTTTTATATGATGTACTGTTTGACGGGCATTTTAGAAGTTTGTAAGTAACAGAAAATGCAAGCATACTTTATGGATGACAGTGAGTGAGTATGGTTTTACAAAGCATTTAGCAAAATTCCAGCAATAGCAAGATGGGGACACCAGAGATAGGCTTCACACATTGTACCCATGTCAAACCTAGGTCTTTGGTGTGACCACATGGTTAGCCCACCGCCCCCTTATGGATCATAACTTCTTCTATCATGATGTGAAGTTGGTCTAGATCCTGATACTGTTCTCTCACAGTGGCGACATCTGAGTATAGACCAGAGGCCCAGATAAGCTGCGTATCCAGGTAAAATACGCATAGAAAATTTCCAGTTACGCATTGAAAAATAATTGTTGCATACCAATTACGCATTTAAAGTGTTAGATACACAAAAAGTTTAAACATGCGTACGAAATAAATTTATAAAAATCGCTTGCGTTATGAAAACGACATCGGTTGCTATCAAGTTGTACTGTCAGTGTAGGCAGTATGAGTGATTTTTTTATGAAATCATTTCCATATTTTTAAGTTGGTTTTGATTAGGTATTACATAAGGCAGTACATGCCTGCTTAGTAAACTTACTCAATGACGTATACTTAGCTGAGTAAAATCACTGAAATACCCACATATTTGAAAGCAGTGGGTAAAGGAAAATGAAATACCCACTCAACATTCATAATACCCACTCCAAAAAAATGCAGTGGGTACAGTACCCACATGAACTAAATCTTATCTGGAGCTCTGAATAGACCACTCTTGTCATCAAAGTATCTTGCCTTTAGTGAGTGAGTGAGTTAACTTTTACTATATGGCAGCGGTTTGTAAATAATCGAGTCTAGACCAGACAATCCAGTGGTGAACAGCATGAGCATGAAAGTATCGATCATAACTTCTTCTATCATGAATCTACGCAATTGGGATACGATGACATGTTTCAACCAAGTCAGGGAGCCTGACCATCCGATTCTGTTAGTCGCCTCTTACGACAAGCATGGGTTACAGAAGATCAATTCTAACCCGGATCTTCTCGGGTTCTTGCCTTTAGCATCTGTTGAAGTAGTTAAGTGTCAATACTATCACGACAAAGTGTATTGTTACTCCCCTGATAGCTGGGTTTTATTTTAATGGAGAGCATAAATATACTCATGGAAACAAATAAGGGAACACATGAAAGGACAAGTGTTCCTTTATTTATTTCCAGAATTTCATCCACACTGCAATACATACCTTGTGAAGAAATCTGGAAAAGAATAAAGGAACACTTGTACTTTCATGTGTTCCCTTATTTGTTTCCATGAGTATATAATACAATAGTTCTTCCTATTGAAAAGCCCCAAAAGAAATAGTTAGGTTGTTGTGTGAATAATTTTAAAAAAATTAATTTGTTTTCAATCGATCAGGACAAAACTGGAATGTGGAAGGTCAGACTTGTTTCATGAACATGTTACATGTTTTTCTTTCCTACATATGGATGCGTGTCTCCTAGTGTTGGGAATTGGTTGAAATCTCACAATTGATGATTCGGTCGATACCAACGACCAATCATCGAAAAAAAATTGTTAGCGTCATTTTTTAGATTTTCCTATTCAGGTTGTAGTTGCAGATAAGTATAAAGAAAAAAACATTTGGTTCTCTGTTGTTGTTTATTGTTTTATTTAGAAGCTGCACAAATTACATTCGCAAATTTCACATCCAGTGGAAAATGATTCAGTTCCAGTGTAACATAAACTTCCCAGATTCTTCAAGAAATATTCAGTCATGACTTTTCAGAAAGTGAAGAGAGTTTTCTAAGAATTAAACACGTTTTCCGGCCCAGACAACATCCTAGATATGTTCCATCATCAAGTATTTCAAACTCTATTACAGCGGTTCCAAAATCGTTTGTGTTCGATTATGAGAAAATGTGATCGATTGCTTGGTCGTTTGGCCACTGCGACCAATCTTCGATTATTTCAATTAATCGGACCACCACTAGTGTCTCCTGATTCCTCATATTCTTGTTATCATGTGTAATTTCCCTGGCAAGAAACACTATAATCTGCGACATTCTCCTCCAGAGTTTTGATGAGTTGGTTCAGCTGGCCGAAAGGGGAGATCACCGTTCAGTGGACATGCTGGTCAAGGACATCTACGGGGGCGCCTACACCAGCATAGGTCTTCCTGGAGACATCATCGCCAGCAGCTTTGGGAAAGCAGCACGTTCCCCTAAAGACAAGAATAGTCAGTTGTGTAGCAGAGACATGTTCATGAAACTTTCCCTTTAGGTCTCTTTTCAACACAGTCACAGTCCTTAGTACAGTGTTTTCATTGCTGATTTTATGATAGGTATAAGAAATGAAAATTATGCATACCACATTTGTGTATCCTCAATTAGGTTTTACTTGTGGAAAAGTGTGACGAGCCTCCCTGTGAGATCGAGTACATTAAAAATCACAGACCAACGTCATATAGATGAAATATTGCTGCGTGTGGTGTTAAACAACAAATGTGAAGTTTAATGTATAAAGCTACAGATGTAACTGTGACTTCCTGTTTCAGCCAAGAGTTTCAAGGAGGAGGACTTGGCTCGTAGCCTGCTCCTGTCCATCAGTAATGACATCGGTCAGATTGCCTACCTTCATGCCAAGATTCATAACCTCAAGAAGATATACTTTGGTGGCTATTTCATCCGTGGTCATCCCATGACTATGCACACTATAACTTTTGCCATCAACTACTGGTCCAAGGTACGGTCCTGTTGGGGGAATATTACTGGAAGCGGAGTAAAAGCTCCCTCACACCCTCACTCACTCACTCACCAGTCTATTCTGGATATGCATGTCTGAAAAAAGTGCGGGGGAGGTGGGGTAGCCTAGTGGTTAAGGCGTTCGCTCGTCACGCCCAAAATCCAGGTTCGATTCCCCACGTGGGCACAATGTGTTAAGTCCATTTCTGGTGTCCCCTGCCGTGATATTGCTGGAATATTGCTAAAACCGGTGTAAAACTAAACTAAACTCACTCACTCACTCACTGAAAAAAGTGCCAAATTAAGTTCTGAAAATATTCATTGTAAGCAATGACTGACCGAAGTCTGCCTTACATTTTTGGATCTTGCTTAGGTGAACAAATTGCCACACACCATGTGTTTTGTCATATATCATTACATGGCCAAATTTTGCCCATCAATTGCAGATATTTCTCCCATCCAGTGAAAAATATGTTCAAAGTCAAACATGTCATGATCGTGTACATTAAGGTGATAACCGTTTGCGTTCTACTGTATGTTTTCAAGGAACATGCATGTGTTTATAGGAGTGTTTGCTGCTTAGTTGCAACAGTTGAGAGTCCTGGTCACTCCTTGTTACTTTCAGAAAGGAATCCAGGCGTTGTTCTTGAGACACGAGGGTTACCTGGGTGCTATTGGCGCCTTCCTCAAAGGCGAGGAGGAAGAGGGTGGGTATTCTTTAATGTCACATGCTGTTGTGTAGCGGTAACAGACATGATGGACTCTTGTATATATTGTATATTGCTCACTTTGGGTTATAATGAAAATGGATTCTTCCGTTATAATGGAAACCTTATGTTGAGAGAGTAATCAGTGTTTCATTAGGAAACATTCATCCCACCCTGTACCGACTGTTATGAACAGCTTCTTTATTTTCACTTGCTTAAACCCCCAGATGCGTTTCAAAGAATTTATTCGTGGATCAGAGAGATGTGGCATTCTTAACTATCAACAGATTCATCACTTGCTTGATAACAGTGTCATAATAAAGAATGTGTTCAACCATACATCTTATCCTTCCCAAATGGTTAAAGCATTTGCACATCAGGCCGAAGACCCGGGTTCGATTCCTCACATGGGTATAATATGTGAAGCCCATTTCTGATGTGCCCCCACCCCCCACCATGATATTGCTGGAATATTGCTAAAAGCGGCGTAAACCCATACTCATTCACCCACTCTCCTTCCTTTGTATTCAGACTTCTAAATGACTAAATGAAGAAGTTTGTTACAGAGAGTGAGTGAGTGAGTTAAAATTTAACTTCACCTCGGCAATATTTCAGCCATATAGTGACGTTGCAGAGAGTTAAACAGCTTTGTGACACTGTATATTGTAAGCAATGTTACAATTTACATAATTTCTTTTTCCCAGACACTGAGAGGTATTCGTGGGGAGAACACTTTCCAGGCAGTTCTGGCCTTGTCAGCCCAAAACAGAAGAATTTCGACATGGCCATGAGCAGGAGCTCACTGGTATGGATGTTTTGTTTGAAAATGCAATCATTGGGATGGTGATAGTCTCAGAATCAGGAAACCATACCTGGATGTTTTTTGTTCACTTGAACTGATTTTTTTCCATCCACAATGACCCATGAAGATCTGGGTTAGAATTTGTCTTCTGCACAGCATGCTTATCATAAGAGGCAACTGACACGATCGGGTGGTCAGACCTGGGTTAGAATTTGTCTTCTGCACAGCATGCTTATCATAAGAGGCAACTGACACGATCGGGTGGTCAGACCTGGGTTAGAATTTGTCTTCTGCACAGCATGCTTATCATAAGAGGCAACTGACACGATCGGGTGGTCAGACCTGGGTTAGAATTTGTCTTCTGCACAGCATGCTTATCATAAGAGGCAACTGACACGATCGGGTGGTCAGACCTGGGTTAGAATTTGTCTTCTGCACCGCATGCTTATCATAAGAGGCAACTGACACGATCGGGTGGTCAGACCTGGGTTAGAATTTGTCTTCTGCACCGCATGCTTATCATAAGAGGCAACTGACACGATCGGGTGGTCAGACCTGGGTTAGAATTTGTCTTCTGCACCGCATGCTTATCATGAGAGTCAACTGACACGATCGGGTGGTAGGACCTGGGTTAGAATTTGTCTTCTGCACCGCATGCTTATCATAAGAGGCAACTGACACGATCGGGTGGTAAGACCTGGGTTAGAATTTGTCTTCTGCACCTCATGCTTATCATAAGAGGCAACTGACACGATCGGGTGGTCAGACCTGGGTTAGAATTTGTCTTATGCACAGCATGCTTATCATAAGAGGCAACTGACACGATCGGGTGGTCAGACCTGGGTTAGAATTTGTCTTCTGCACAGCATGCTTATCATAAGAGGCAACTGACATGATCGGGTGGTCAGACCTGGGTTAGAATTTGTCTTCTGCACCGCATGCTTATCATAAGAGGCAACTGACACGATCGGGTGGTCAGACCTGGGTTAGAATTTGTCTTCTTCACAGCATGCTTATCATAAGAGGGAACTGACACGATCGGGTGGTCAGACCTGGGTTAGAATTTGTCTTCTGCACCGCATGCTTATCATAAGAGGCAACTGACACAATCGGGTGGTCAGACCTGGGTTAGAATTTGTCTTCTGCACCCCATGCTTATCATAAGAGGCAACTGACACGATCGGGTGGTCAGACCTGGGTTAGAATTTGTCTTCTGCACCGCATGCTTATCTAAGAGGCAACTGACACGATCGGGTGGTCAGACCTGGGTTAGAATTTGTCTTCTGCACTGCATGCTTATCATAAGAGGCAACTGACACGATCGGGTGGTCAGACCTGGGTTAGAATTTGTCTTCTGCACCGCATGCTTATCATAAGAGGCAACTGACACGATCGGGTGGTCAGACCTGGGTTAGAATTTGTCTTCTGCACCCCATGCTTATCATAAGAGGCAACTGACACGATTGGGTGGTCAGACCTGGGTTAGAATTTGTCTTCTGCACCGCATGATTATCATAAGAGGCAACTGACACGATCGGGTGGTCAGACCTGGGTTAGAATTTGTCTTCTGCACCGCATGCTTATCATAAGAGGCAACTGACACGATCGAAAGTGGTCAGACCTGGGTTAGAATTTGTCTTCTGCACCGCATGCTTATCATAAGAGGCAACTGACACGCGATCGGTGGTCAGACCTGGGTTAGAATTTGTCTTCTGCACCGCATGCTTATCATAAGAGGGAACTGACACGATCGAAAGTGGTCAGACCTGGGTTAGAATTTGTCTTCTGCACCGCATGCTTATCATAAGAGGCAACTGACACGATCGGGTGGTCAGACCTGGGTTAGAATTTGTCTTCTGCACAGCATGCTTATCATAAGAGGCAACTGACACGAACGAGTGGTCAGACCTGGGTTAGAATTTGTCTTCTGCACCGCATGCTTATCATAAGAGGCAACTGACATGATCGGGTGGTCAGACCTGGGTTAGAATTTGTCTTCTGCACCAGATGCTTATCATATCATAAGAGGCAACTGACACGATCGGGTGGTCAGACCTGGGTTAGAATTTGTCTTCTGCACCGCATGCTTATCATAAGAGGCAACTGACACGACATCGGGTGGTCAGACCTGGGTTAGAATTTGTCTTCTGCACCGCATGCTTATCATAAGAGGCAACTGACACGATCGGGTGGTCAGACCTGGGTTAGAATTTGTCTTCTGCACCGCATGCTTATCATAAGAGGCAACTGACACGATCGGGTGGTCAGACCTGGGTTAGAATTTGTCTTCTGCACCGCATGCTTATCATAAGAGGCAACTGACACGATCGGGTGGTCAGACCTGGGTTAGAATTTGTCTTCTGCACCGCATGCTTATCATAAGAGGCAACTGACACGATTGGGTGGTCAGACCTTAGAATTTAGCAATTTGTGCTTATCATAAGAGGCAACTGACTTATCATCAGACCTGGGTTAAATTTGTCTTCTGCACCGCATGCTTATCATAAGAGTCAACTGACCGATTGGGTGGTCAGACCTTTTAGAATTTGTCTTCTGCACCGCATGCTTATCATAAGAGGCAACTGACACGATTGGGTGGTCAGACCTGGGTTAGAATTTGTCTTCTGCACCGCATGCTTATCATAAGAGGCAACTGACACGATTGGGTGGTCAGACCTGGGTTAGAATTTGTCTTCTGCACCGCATGCTTATCATAAGAGGGAACTGACACGATCGAGTGGTCAGACCTGGGTTAGAATTTGTCTTCTGCACCGCATGCTTATCATAAGAGGCAACTGACACGATCGGGTGGTCAGACCTGGGTTAGAATTTGTCTTATGCACAGCATGCTTATCATAAGAGGCAACTGACACGAACGAGTGGTCAGACCTGGGTTAGAATTTGTCTTCTGCACCGCATGCTTATCATAAGAGGGAACTGACACGATCGGGTGGTCAGACCTGGTTTAGAATTTGTCTTCTGCACCGCATGCTTATCATAAGAGGCAACTGACACGATCGCGTGGTCATACCTGGGTTAGAATTTGTCTTCTGCACCGCATGCTTATCATAAGAGGCAACTGACACGATCGGGTGGTCAGACTCCCTGTTTTGGTTGACATATGTCATTGTATCCCTTCTGCCTTGACTGAAGCTCTTGCTGTTAATCATTGGATTGTCTGGTCTGGACTCGATTGTTTACAGGCCACAGCCATATAGCTGGAATATTGCTGACTACGGCCTTAAACAACATAGAAACACACATCCACAATGACTTTGACAAACAACTGTCATTGGGTACTTCCAACCTGAAAAAGGCAATTACCTAGTGTCTCTTTGTCATGAGTTGATGCTAAATATGCTTTGCCAAGAAGTCGGGATTACAAATCAAATTCTTACAGGACACATCAACTGTAAACATCCAAGCTGTGAAAGTTAATCACAAATATGTACATTAACAGGTGTTTTGTCTTTGACATATTTTGAATTTACATGTGTTATATGTAGGATTATGCTCAATACATTTTAGGCATTGTGAATTCACTTACAATCACTAAAGCCAGTAAATATTGTTTATTGAATGATGGACATGTATAAGAAAGCACAGCGTTCAATAAGCTGATACAGTGCATTCTGTCAAACTCGGACCCTGTCTTTCTCGGATTGCTGTATAAACAGGACTGAACTCATGGTCCTGACTTAATCCTTCTTTGTTGTCATAATAAAAAAGTTCTGTATCTCGGACTCTCATTATTTCGGATTTCGGACCAAAGTGTGGGCCCGATAATCTAGTTACATGTAAAAACATTGCTATATAATTCGGACTGAGCAGGAAGTCTGCTTGGCCAATAAACCTTGAATAAACAATCCGTTGATTGGTTTGTGTATTTTGTCTTATTTACTGAGCAGGAAGTTCATTTGGCCAAGACCGCGTGGTCTAGTGGTGAACGCTTATTTACCTTTGATGCGATTAACACCAATTGAAAACATAATTGAGCCGATCATGTCAACTCAGTGTCAATGTCACTATGCATTTAAGATGCCATCAGACACAGTGTGATATCAATCGGGTCAAAATGTCCGAGCGACCACGAAAAAGCCCGCGTACTGAATTATCACTTGTAACCAAGATAAATCTAATCAATGATTCTGAAGCTATTCCAAAGATTTTGGGATTTCTTCACAAACTGAAGCTTTTATATGGAAGTATGTAATAAACAAATGTACATGTACTTTGTCAGTGTTCGTCTTTATACGCATTCATGTAATATATGTTTCATGCACAATCTTATGTTCGACAAAGGGAGATAACTCCATTAAAATCTGTGAACTTCGGACTACTGTATAATTCAGACTTTTTAGTCGGTCCCAAGCTGGTCCGAATTAGACAGAGTGCACTGTACTTGTATTTGATCCGGACACTGGTGTCTAGAAAATGTGCTGGCAAAATCCTACTAATTTCTGAATATGGCTGCCATATTCAATGCCCTTGACTCAGTCATATTAGTGATATTTCCTATCCAGTAAGACTGAGTAGTACAGTCAAACTCGAAACTCATGGGAACCCAAGAATTATTTGTGTATCATTATTTAATTTAGTGTGTAATTTGAATGACATTCTGAACAATGTAGCATATTATTTATATGTATATTTTTAAGCACTGCATGAAACAACTAATTTGTTCCAGTTTGACCACCTTGAGATAGACCGCCTGGAACGTCCCCTACTACCGTGCACACTGCTACTGGACGTAAACAGCTACTACCCCGACACTGTAGATCTCACTAAAGATGCAGAAGCCAGGGAATATTGGCTGGAGTGCTTTTCTCAGGGAGCGGACAAGGTACTGCAGGGGCAGATTTCTTGTCAGTAGTTTGTGAAAACTGATTTCTTCACTGGTTTATTGTACTCACTATGTTTATTCATGCTTTTGTCTATTTTTTTGAAAAATGTAACATGTGTTTAATTGTATGATGCTTTCATTAAGAATATACCTTTGTAAGAGTTCTAAATGTATTTAAGTAGAACCTACTCATTTAGTCTCTCCATAAAGTTATATACTTTCTAGCTGAATCAGTGACTGTATGTAGTTCGACTGCTTGTAAGCTCCTTCCCAGCATATGACGCTATTATTACATTCCTGGTAGCATCACTACATCACCAGAGGGGCGGTGGGGTAGCCTAGTGGTTAAAGTGTTCGCTCGTCATGATGAACACCCAGATTCGATTCCCCACATGGGTACAATATGTGAAGCCCATTTCTTTTGTCCCCGCTGTGATATTGCTGGAATATTGCTAAAAGCGGCGTAAAACTAAACTCACTCACTATCACCAGTGTGAAGCAGCTTTTACAAGATGTTTAAACTTGCCCTCAAACCCCAAATGTACTGACATGTACTTCTTTCTCTGTGTGTGTCTGCGGGAATACCATCATGGGAAAGTTGGAATGGTTTAATAAGTTTGGGTTTAATTGGTTTTAGATTGTAGACAAACGGAAAAGAATCCAACTTTCACTGTACATTCGAAGTACACCACGAATATTACAGCTGAAATTAAATAGAAATTCAGATCGACAAATGAAAGTAGTTTGATGTAGGAAGAGTATTTGTCGTCATGACAGTATCAATACTCTGTAAGCATTACGGTCAGTTGGTTGTGACTTAAACTCTATGAATGTTTGTAGCTGCCAGGCATTGCAGGGAGCTGTGGCTAGTGGCGTTGATAGTTCAGACAGCTCTGTGTACAGACAGTGAACAGCCCAGGGTTCAACTGTATTTCTAGTATATTTGAGTGATGTAGGGGGAATATCAGTTTGTTGAGAAAAAGTTGTTTTGGATGTCTCTGGTGTATAATGTTTTTAGCTTTTGTCTTCATATTTATAATAGTTAGTTTTTACATACTATCTTTGTGACTGTTTAAAAATATGTTCACTGAATTATTTCATAGATAATGTTTATACTAAGTTACATCTTTTGTGAGAGGTTTCAGTTTTACTTGATCATGTGCTTAATCGTGTTATGTACTTTGTAAAAGTTTGATTTAGGAAAACATTATTTTTTGATAGAGCAAGCTGCAAGCTATAAAGAGCCAGCCTAGCTCACCCGATGCTGTGGAAAGGGCAGAAAAATTCAAGTCCAGATACCTCGACAGACTCAGTGTGCTCAAGGCAAACCCATGGTGAGTAGAATGATTTCAAGAATGGATATGGGGCCGTGGGGTAGCCTAGTGCTTAGAGCATTGGCTCGTCACGCCGAAGACCCGGGTTCGATTCCCAACATGGGTACAATGTGTGAAGCCCGTTTCTGGTGTCCTCCGCTGTGAGATTTCTGAAATATTGCTAAAGCGGCGTTAAGCCATACTCACTCACTCACTCACTCACTCACTAAGAATGGATACATCATGAATAGATCTTTACATTTTGAGCTAAGTTTCTGCAATAAGGCAAAATCATTATCAATGTGTTTCAAGATGGGATAACTTTGAATGGAATCCTTATGGACTGGCTTGTCACGATATGGCTGAAATATTGCTGATGTGAAGTTAAATCTTAACTCAACCACTCACCTCCTGGACCTTGTGGATTTAAATATAATTGTTTTTGCAAAAGTTGAACAGCAGTAAGTTTGTCCCAGATGTCTGGCATGCATCAGTGCGTTATTGTTCTTACATTCCATGATGAACGTCTGAAGTCTGTCTTGATTTTGCATGTTATTGTTCACTCTATTATTGGTCTGATCTGAGAGAGAATATTTTTGAAAAATGATGCATCTGTTTTTCGTTATTTAATATTGTTTCTGGAATTCCACAGTTGTTTTGGGTCTCTGAATGTTCGGACCTTGCTGGATACAAGCAGTCAGTTCCTGTCCGAGCTGGAATTCACGGACCCCTTTTCCCAGCAGAAGCAGTTTGAGAATGAGCAAGCTCTGAAGTCGTTGGACGGTCATCTGAATCACTTGGATAGTCTGTCCTGGGATGACAGACAGCTGGCACTAGCCAAGGGTCTACTGGCGGGGAATGTGTTTGACTGGGGAGCAATGGAGGTCAGGAAGATCATGGAGACCCAAGTCTTTGGCTTTGCTGATGCTCAGGATAAACTGCAAGGTTAGAGGATTCTTGCTGACTGATGATCTAACACACTGTCTTTTGTTTAAACCCGTGAAGGTCCGGTTAGAATGTACCTTCAGTAACCCATGCTTGTCGTAAAAGAGGCGACTAACGGGATCAGGTGGTCAGGCTCGCTGGCTACGTTGACACATGTCATCGGTACCCAATTGCGCAGATCGATGCTCCTGTTGTTGATCACTGGATTGTCTGGTCCAGACTCGAATATTTACAGACCGCCGCCATTTAGCTGGAATATTGCTGAGTGCGGCGTAAAACTAAACTCACTCACTCACTGTTGTTTAATGCCGCTCTCAGCAAAATTCCAGCTATATGACAATGGTCTGTAAATAATTGAATCTGGACCAGACAATCCAATGATTCACATCATGAGCATCAATCTATACAATAGGTGAGTTTGAAATGATGAATCATCGCCAACCAAGTGAGTTCAGGCAGTTTGACCACACCTAACCCAAAATGAGAATAATCACAAGCAAGGGTTCCTAAACAGGTCAGTTCAGGCAGGACTTTGTCCCATGACAAACCTTACGCAAGAGGTAATCAAAATGAGAATTGAATGTCCACATTGTTCCAGGAATAAATATAAGATTTTGACAAGGACCAACTAAATATATGAAACAACTCTTGATGAATACACATTTACATATAAGTACTTATATGAGGAACCAAAGTGTGTACTGTGTTATTTTAGAGCGGCCATGGCTGTTTGACAACTTTGACCTGTGGAAGGCTAGATTGTCTCGGTCCCCGCCCCACAAGTGTGCAGCCATCTTCTGTGACAACAGTGGGGCTGATATCATTCTGGGTGTGATTCCTCTCACCAGAGAGCTGCTGTCTCGAGGAACCAAGGTAAGTGTTCATACTTTCAAGTTAAATGCTGATGGTGTCTGTGGTAATGATAAAGAATATTATTTTGGTTGTAGCAGAGATCCCACCTTTTGAACATTGTTGTTGTTTTTTGTTATCTACCTGTCATTCTTGTAGCTGTACTTGTTTGTTTTAAACTGATCTTTTCTTGCATTTGATATTAACTTGCCAAGCCAAAACTAGAATCTTAAAATGCACCTGGAAATGTACTTACATTCCTCTGGAGAGTTTTCGATGACCAGTGTAAGAAGTGCTGGGATAGAATTTCTGATAAGAGGAGCTTGGATAAAAAAAATGTTCGCATGACAGAGGATTTAGGTACCCAAATCTGATTCCTGAACAGACTTTTGGAAAATGCAAGAGCGTCAAACTTGAACAGTCACTGCCTTTTGAAGGACCACAATTCTTGTCATAAACACCAATGCCCATACTGTTATAGTTACATGTTATCATTCATTGTCTTAGGAGGTGTATAGCTGTACCTTTAAATGAAGGTTGGTATTTACCATACTTTGGGCTTGAGTGGAATGATGAAATTCTATGCCTTCATCAGCATGTTTGATCTTTCCTGCAGGTGATTCTGTGTGCTAACTCTCGTCCCACCCTGAATGATGTTACGTTCAGCGAACTGCAGCTCATCACCAAACATGTGGCGGCAATATCAGGGGAGATAAACCAGGCTCTCACAGAAGGAAGACTGCTAATTATGGAATCAGGTCAAGGTTCACCATGTTTAAATCTCAGGTAAACATATACAACGTATCAGCAAAGCTTAAGCAGAGCTCCAGATAAGATTTAGCTCATGTGGGTACTGTACCCACTGTATTTTTTTGGAGTGGGTATTATGAATGTTGAGTGGGTATTTCATTTTCCGTTACCCACTGCTTTCAAATATGTGCGTATTTCAGTCATTTTACTCACCTAAGTATTACGTCATTGAGTCAGTTTACTAAGCAGGTATGTTCTGCCTTATGTCATACCTAGTCTAAACCAACTTAAATATAATGGAAATGATTACATAAAAAATCACTCATCCTATACTGACAGTACAACACTTGTCCTATACTAACAGTACAACTTGATAGCAATCGATGTCTTTTTCATTACGCAAGCGATTTTTATAAATATATTCCGTATGCATTTGTTTTAAACTTTTTGCGTATCTAACATTTTAAATGCGTAATTAGTACTCGACAATTATTTTTCAATGCGTAATTGGAAATTTTATATGCGTATTTTACCCGGATATGCAGCTTATCTGGGCCTCTGTTAAGAAATGGTGAAATCTTATATGCAAAGATAACTAACCAGTATAGCACTAGTAGTGTTCAATAGTGCAGGAGCGATGGATGGAATAAAAAAAATTCTGAGACTAATCAGTATTCATAAGAAATGAAACATTAAATTAAACTTTGGAAAGAGCGATTCTCATAAACAACTGATATCTAAGTGCAATATAAACAGCATACCCTCGTGCATGTCTCAACACGAAGTATCCTTGGTCATCTCGATCGTAGTATGAGTCAGTGCCTGTTTTGTTTGCCCAATGTTATGTGTCCTGTAATTGCCTACATGAGTTTTGTGAGAAAATGTAATGGTTTTGGCTTTCATGATTGAAAGGCTCTGACTGTAACTTCAAGACAACCTTGCTGTCCCTTCCTCATGTTGAAGATTGTTTATCGGTACTGATGAAAGGTGTTGATTTTTTCAGGTTGATAGACCAATGTCTTGTGGACACCATCAAAACCATGGAAACAGATCTGATCATCATTGAAGGCATGGGGCGAGCAATCCACACAAATTTTCATGCAGCCTTCTCCTGTGAATGTCTGAAAGTAGCTGTGATAAAGAACCGTTGGTTGGCGAACCGCCTCGGTGGTGATATGTTCAATGTGATGTTCAAGTACGAGAGGTCGCGCCGTGTGTCGGCGTCAAATGCCTCATGACAACAGCCAGGCTTGTGTTCATGTGATATGATTTTAACTATGGTACTCTCGAAAAATCAAACCTCTGAGGGTATTTTATGGCAGAAGACTCAAGATACAGAAATGAAAGAAATGTATGATTGAAAATTTATCCAGAATAAAAAATATATGTCAGTATTGTTCGGGAGTTATTTCTGTAGAAAGATTTGTGTCTTTGTCTTACTAACCCGGTTCCCATGTCTGGAGACCGCCTCCGTGGTGTAGTGGTTAGAGTGTCCGCCCGGAGAGCGGAAGGTCGCCGGTTCAATCCCCGGCCGCTTCATACCAAAAAGACGTTAAAATATGGTACTTGTTGGTCCGTGCCTGGCTCTCGGCATTAATGGGTACAACAAGGACTGGTCGGCTCGGAGTCAGTATAATGTGTCTGAGTGGGGTATTCATACTTCACTGTGGCATGGTATCTCAGTGGGCTAACACTATAAAACCAGCTTAAGTCTGGGCTAGTTCAAGCAGCCGCATATACACATACACACGCATGTACGTCGTCATATGAGCGAAATATTCTCAAGCACGACGTAAAACCCAATTTCACCTCACCTCCCATGTCTGGATATTGTCGAAAATAAATGCATGGAGAAATTAAATATATAAAATCTTATGGCAACTGTTAATTGTAACAGTGTAAATTTGTCCGGGCTCCCACAGTGAAAGCTGTAAATACACAATGCCATTTCAAATCTTGGATGGGACTAAACCTAACAAAAGTACAAGAATCTGTTCTTTACTGAGAAAGTGTAACCACAAATATAAAATATGTTACATTTGACCACTTTCTAAATGGCATTGTGTATTCATAACTATTAATTGTAATCAAACACATGCAAGATAAAAATATTGTTTATACTTAATGTCAAAAAAGGTATTTAGAATATAAGGCAACATCTGATCATACAGGTGATGATGTATAGATATACCATGGATATGAAAAGAACGTGTTCCTACATAGAGATCCTACCCTCTGCTTATGAATAACGTTAAGTATGGTTCCTTCCAGTGAGCCAGTGTAAGATGTCAGTGTATGTGGTTGCCCCACTAGCACCTACCATTGTAAAGAAAGAGGTAGTTGGTGATGCGCAACAAGTAGTAGATGGATATGCGCACAACATGCCTACACCCTCTGTTGTCATGCAAAAACTTGAACTAATGTTAGTTAATTCTTGACAATACATTTGTATACCTGGATGTAGCTTAGCGTAACATTGTTCTATAGAGAATATTACACTGATGCCCAAGGTAGCTCTTACATCACCTGTGAAGATCCTGGTGAGAATTGGTCTTCAGCAACCCATGCCTGTAAGTGGCGACTAATGGGATCGGATGGTCAGGTTTGTTGACTTGGTTGACACCTGAGATTGAATCTCAGTTGTGTATTTTGATGCTCATACTATTGATCACTGGATTGTCTGTTCCAGACTATTATTCACAGACCACCGCCATAGCTGGAGTATTGCTAACAAACAAGAGCTCTGACATCCAAGAAGTCACATCACACAGCCAATTCGTGTGTAAACGTATTATTTATTGCAATGAATCCTTTACCAAGCCGTTTACACAGCATGCACAAGAATCCTATTGTACCTGCTTAAAGGCAACCAGAAATGTCAATTCTTGAATCGTGTCATGTGATATCTTTAACATTTTGTTGGTGGAAAATATGTCTGGTCTTTTGTTACCGTAGATCTGATTGACTGATTTGTTTGTGTCTTTGTTTATTTGTTTGTTAAGTGAGTGAGTTTAGTTTTACGCCGCACTCAGCAACATTCCAGCTATATGGTGGAGGTCTGTAAATAATCGAGTCTGGACCAGACAATCCTGTGATCAACAACATGAGCATCGATCTGCGCAATTGGGAACCGATGAACGTAGCCAGCGAGCCTGACCACCGGATCCTGTTAGTCACCTCTTTTACGACAAGCATGGGTTACTGAAGATCCTATTTCAAACCCGGACCTCCACAGGTGTTTGTTAAGTAATGACACATTTTATTGTTATCAAAAGTCTAAACCAAGATTATTCCAAGCTGGCATCACTCAGGGATCAGTGTTGGGGTCGTTTCTGTTAATTGTTTGTGTAAATATCGCTGATGATCTAGATTGCATAACTAGACAATTTGCTGATGAAACATCTTTGGACAAGGACAGATCCAAAATCTGAACAGAATTGAAACCTCATTAAACGAACACCTCAGAAGGGTAATGTATCAGGGAAAGACGTGGTTGATATCAAATATTCCAGATGAGACAGAATCTGTACCTTTCTTACTCAAGGCTGACATTTGCTCCAATAACTTTTTATTTGACGATACGATTGTGAAACAACAGAAAGTCATTAATATATGGGGGAAATGCTTTCATGGAAGGCCACTGGTCCTCCCATGTATCTGATATTGTTTCCAAAACCTCGAAAATGAGCCACTCAGAGAGAAAACTCAAATACTTTCTTAACAGAACTACGCTTTTAAAAATTTACATGGTGTAAAGTACGCATGCGTTGTCTTGGATGGATGTTGAATAGAACTAAGATTACAACTGAAAAGACCCCAGATGGAAGCTGCAAGAATTATTGCAGATTTTCCCAAATATTATTCTTTTAAATGACTATATTATGAAACGGGTTTGGAAACACTATAAGAACGTAGAAAATTAAAATTCAGAGCAACAAAAGTCCAGCTTACCTGAGAGAACTAGTTCCTCAGTTCCTAGGGGTCATTATATTTAAAGACATCTGGGCCAAACTCCTTGCCAAAAACAAGAGAGAAAAAATCTCATCGGTTTTCTCATCGACAATACGATTGTGGAACAATTTATCCGCAGAAGTAAGAAATTGCACTTCAATATTAAAATAATTGAGCATAAATACTCGGTTGCACTGCACATTTCTGACGGTATCAGAAAACGTAATGTAGTACGGATATCCAGGGTTGTAAAAATGAAATAATAATAAGAAATGTACATTTTATGTAGCAAATAGAAGCGATTCCAGTACGTTTGTCACTCTGTATCTTCTGTAAAATATTCTACATATATTGTCCCTTTACTGTCAATCTTCCTCTGTGTCTGTTTCTAATAATGATGTCAATATTTTGTGAATATAACATATTAAAACAATAAAAGAATCGTCATTTCATCTAAGAAACAATTCAATATTGATTCACTTTTTACTAAAATTGATAGATATAATCAGGCATTTGCGAGAACTGAAAACCATCAACATTTTGGTGTTTTCTCACACCAATCAAAGGGACTGTATATTTACAGTCGATTTAAATTCTTTAGTGGATAGAAATCAAGTGTATTTGAATGGTATTACGGGCGTTTGTGGAAAATCAAGCTGACAGTTATTATTCCAAATTAACTACCTAGACCAGAGACCATATGTCTCTGCCTGGACTCAGTGAGTTTCAAGAAGTCTAATAACTAATTTACATCTAGTTAGGTTCAACACTGTCTCGTTGTAGAATGTTAGCGAAAACGGTTCATGGCCGGGAAGGCTAAAATCGTGACGCTTCTCGGTTCAATGAGCGTAGCCTTCGCGGTACTTGCAATGCAATGTTATGGCTGAATGAACACGGCGCGCCTCACTCGGAGGCCCTGACTAATTACAAAGAAAACAGGATTAACATCGACAGTCTTGACAGTTTTTTTCAGGACATGTATCTTATTATTCCCAATAAGTTGCTAATATTTTGACATGTTAGGCCATTTATGAAAATAATCACTGATGAAAAAAGAACGTTCATACGCCAATGCTTTACATCTAAATAGATAATGGAATTCGTCGCCAATTTCTTGAGAATTACACAGTGTTCAAAATCTCTCTCCACGAGGAATATTCGACCAGCGACCCTTTTCTATTGGCAATTTGTGATTACTTGTTCTAAAATATACACCTGGAAAAAAGTATTGCAACACCGTGTTTTTTTATGAGCAATGACATTTCACTGCATAGTATATACACACAGTGTTGCCAACTGATGCAAATGGTAATGCATTGTTAAAAAAAGTGTGTATTTGAATAGAAATGACGACACTGATGTCCAGTTGAGTTTCGCTGTTTCATGATTTAATTACTGTTACAAATATTTGTGCAAATTGAGGTGAAACGTACACTGGAAAAGTATGGGGTTAGTAAGACAGTACGTGGGTTCACACATGTGAAATGCATATCTCATCCTAGGACACGAAAGAAATTTACCAAAACAAGTGATAATGTCAGTATCGAGTGCATCCACCTCCCGCCAGGATGACCGATTGAACACGCTCTCTGCTGTTTGCTGTTTGCTGGTGAGTTGGTACCAACCTATTGATTGTGGAAGGATGATGACCAACGTGGATAGCAATTCGTCGCAAAGACATTCCATCATTTCTCATGCCAATTATCTGCCATCTTTAGCATTTGACAACTGAGGGGGACCCATTTCATGAGTTATTGTCTGCTCCAGTGCTTTGGTGTGCTGATAACACGTTGCAATGATGAATGGAGCAAACTTGCTTTTCAGAACAACAAGAGTGCATGTATGCAACAGGTTGCAGCTGCAGCACGTGCTGCGCGAGCATCCATTGTGATCATGTAGGGTGCGGCATATACACCAACAATATCATATACTGAAAGCCATTAAAAATGCAATTTGACATTCATACTTTCTTTACACACACTAATTTCAACGTATATAAACTTAACTGACAGATATGTTTTAAGTGAACATCTGTGAATAATTTCATCTGAAAATGTCCAGTCAGCAACAACATCAGTGACGCAACAACGACATCACACAAAGGAGGGGTTACTTGTAGTCAATATCGTGTGTGTCCACCATGCACTGCAAGACACGCAGTCTTTGGGGCATTGAAAGACACACATTTCTCAGGAACAGCTGTTGGATGGTCTGCAGCCTCTGATGGTCTGTGGTCTGATCATGACATCACCCCCTCCAAAACGATCATGTTCAAGGACACAGTTTGGCGCAAGTCTTTCTCGATAAATCTGTTGACGTCCATCTGCAAAGGATAAATTAAACCTGGATTCATCTGAAAAAATGACATCTGGCCATGTCCTGTTGCCAAGATTGGCCCCATTTGCTGCCCATCGCTGTCTGGCAAGTCTGTGGCGATGCATTAAGG